CCCCCCCCCCCCCCCCCCCCCCCCCCCCCCCCCCCCCCCCCCCCCCCCCCCCCCCCCCCCCCCCCCCCCCCCCCCCCCCCCCCCCCCCCCCCCCCCCCCCCCCCCCCCCCCCCCCCCCCCCCCCCCCCCCCCCCCCCCCCCCCCCCCCCCCCCCCCCCCCCCCCCCCCCCCCCCCCCCCCCCCCCCCCCCCCCCCCCCCCCCCCCCCCCCCCCCCCGGTCAGGATGCGAGTTGGGGGGGCCCCCCCCCCCCCCCCCCCTAACAGGTCGACCGGGTAATTTGCAATGAGATGTACATATATGGACGTGTCTTGAGCCGCTGAATTCAAATCTGCCCTCCTTTTTTGCGGAACGATTCTCTGAAGAGAGTTACGGACCATTTAACCTTTGCTCTGTTGTACAAGTTGAGAAGGATAGTTACCTTGCAGCAAGCGGCGATGGCCTAGTGGAGAAGCGCAGTGCTTCAGAGAGACCCGAGGTCGCATGTTGGAATCCTTGACTCTTAAAATATTTTTGCTTTTGTTCAAAGCACTTCATATCAGTCCCCAGAACACTTCTTTTTGGCCAATTCACCTAATCTCTGATTATTTGACAATAGGAGCGGCCTTTGCTTCATTGTTTCTCCTAGACTTTTATTATGAGGATGACAGTTTCTACAGTTGCAGTGTTCCTCCGCGACGGTCGGGGCGGTCCTAAGGCCACGCTGGCTGGCGGCCCGATATGTGCCTGTTGGTCGAAAGCGGCAATAGCCTTGCCCCTGCGTCTCTGACACTGACTCTGCGCTCTAACGCACGCCGCCGCACAATCTACCCACTCTCCCGCTCTGGGCTCTCGCCGATCGATAATTGCTCCAGCAGCTGATTTTACGGCACTGTATTTTCTCTTACATTTCGGCCTTTGAAAAAGCTCAGATTTTTTAATCCAACATTACCAGAAAAGCGGTCCGCTATTAGAAGGGCAGGAAACAAACGCAGATCGAGACAGAGATCGCAAAAGGAAGAGAACAAAACAACATAGATCAGCAGGCGACTCACGAAAATTTCAGGAAACATTTGGAAAAAGGGGACCCATTAAGGCGACATACCGAGCTTCCAAAACCAGCAGTCAAGATGGTTCCTCGATAATTAACGAGATCACATCTTGAACTACTTTGAAAAGCCGGTCAATAACATAAAAAAACGGGACGATAAGGAAAACTTTGGACGAATTGCAAAAATCAGAAGAAAAAAATGCTTACTAGGGAATTTCCGAGCTACAATTGCGTGCAAATTTGGATACCAGCTTTTAGGTTAAAAATACTCACCTTTGACGGTGTATTGAAAGCCGAAGTCGGAGAAATTCGCAGCTTCTATAAGCAAGCCTGTGGGTCGAGAGGAGGCGGCGCCAATGAAGAGGCCGAGCACTTTAGCTCGCCGCAGGTCAAGAGTGGACCAATGGAAACCAATGAAGGGGGCAGAGAGGCCCCGAACTCCTTTTTTGACTACCCATGATCTGGCGGGCCTGGCGGGAGAGACCAGGCAGGAGTTCCATGAGGTTACTTTACTTTCAGATTCGACTCCAGTAATCGTCGGCGGCGGTCCTCTCCTTGACCCCGCTGCGCCCTCCTCCACCTACCTCGTCTTATTCAATTTCTATTACCGTTTCTCGTTCATGTTACGCTATTAGTTGCTAATAAATTATTTATTGTCTAAGTGTGATTGCTTCCACCATTGAACGCGGACCAATCAATCCGGGGCTATCATAACCCCACATGGGGGCCGAACCTAGCAAGGTCTGAGCAAGTAAGAGTGAGGTGATTGAAGCAGTCACACGGTGTGTGCTGAGCTGCGACTCGTGAGACATGGCGAGGTCAACAGTCTGGCTCAGAGATTGGCCATACTGATCGCTGGCTAGAGTGAAGCCACAGACGTGGAGCAGTGAGCCACAAAGGCAGCAGTGGTATTCGATAGGTCAACTGTGCGCCGGGCGCGATTGGACTATCGAACGTAGAGAGAGTAAAGAGGTAGCTACTGAACGTTGTCAGAGTTAAGTCGAAGTGGATAATAAGATCGTTGTATCGGTTGTATTTCGGCTCGGTCTATACGCGGTTTCTTTTTGACCGCCGTGTGTGATACTAAAAGAGTTCAAGGCGATCTAAGTCGTTCAGTTTGTTGGTTAGCATGCATTGGGTTGGGATGGATAACGACGTGTCAGTATTGGATGGCGAGATCGAGGAGCAAGACTCAAGGCCATCGGTGAGTACAGATAGTTGTACTTTCCCATTTGAGCAAATAGTCAAAGAGTTGAAAGAGATAAGTTTTCTTGTGGAGCAATTCCCTGGGATCGTGGCTGAGCGAGGATGAGAGATCACAAAGTGTCCGCTCGCTATAAGGACAGGCATATGGAAGTGGTTAGGAGGGAGATGGAGAAAGTCCATAACAAGCTAGAACTTTTAGCAAATAGCTGCAGGAGAACAAGAGTAATTCATAGGAAAATTTGTGAATTACTGGATCTAAGAGGGATCGACTCAGAGGATGAGTGGGTATGTAATACATAACATTATGGACGAGAAGATAGGTTGGACATTTAGGCAACATTATGCAGTCGTGCTGAAGCGACAAATACGTGGCAGGTTGTGAACGTTCGTCAAGCGCTGGGGACGTGAGTCACTTCTGGTGGTGCCCGCGCGGCTGGCTTGGCGGAGGCGGGCAGTGCCTGGGGGGCGGAGGCACGAGGGTCCTCCTGTCGAGTAGATGCGGGGAAGCGGTGCGGCGGGGAAGGTCCGGGGGCGCGCAGTTCGCCGCGTCGCGGCGCGCCCGCGGCGGCGTGAACAAGCCCGCCGGCTAACGGGGGCTAGCTTGGCAGTCGAGGGGCTGAAGGCTCCCGGAGCGCATGTTACGAAGTCTGAATAAAGAAGATGTCGTCCTGATTTGTGTGTAAATGGAACTAGAAAGGAACGTAGATGAGGATTGCCAATAATCACAGCAGATAGGCCAATTACCGAGCTCGACCAGAGATGGGACTATGCAGGCTAACCAGTAACCCAGTGGGACTGAGCAACGCTAGCGAGCCCAAGATGAAGAAACCCCAATTGGAAGAGCTAGATCGGCGGACAAACAAGAAGAGACACAAAAAGGTCAGAGCTTGAGTATGGATATGCTTAGTTATTTCCAATCTTTGTCTTGTGTCGATCCTGGGGTATACAAAGGGAAAGCCAATGAGAACTTCTCAGAGTTCATTCGAAGGTTTCGTAGGAAGTACCAAAGGGTTGTCATGAGTGACCATACCCTTATCGAGATCCTTGGGGATGATCACTTAGGCGGTAGAGCCAAGTCCATGTTTCTGTCGCTGCCGGTGGAGATACGAAGCAGAGGTTTCGAAGCAGTTGTGGCTGAGCTAGGAAACTTGCTAGCGGAAGATACTGTGGCCGGTAGGATGCGAGCTATCTCTGAGCTGCGCGAGTTGAGAATTCGCCCTCAACAGGATGTCGCTGACTTCTGCGTGGCCCTAGAAAAGTTAGGGAGGAAGGCTAACCCTCGCGGTAGTATTGAGGACAGTTCACTAGAGTTTGCACATATCCTCTTGTCTAACCTGAGAGACTGGCCGGAACATGTGCAGCTATTGAGTGCGCTTCATAGAACAAAGCCGGAGAAAGCCTATGAAGAGGTGAAACAATTGGCCCTTTCCATTGAGCAATCTAAGCGGATGTTTGGAGAGTCACAGGGAAAGCGAGACTGGTATAGCGACTGGAAGTCGAGAGCGAGGTCGTACAAGGGCTACAATGGTCTCGAAAGAGTGAGCGCAACAATTAGGAAGGAAACGGTTGCAAGACGAGAGGAGGACGACAGAGAAGCCGTAAAAGGGGTGTATGGTGAAGCAGGCTCTGCACGTAGAGCTCCCGAACAGAAAACACTCCCCAAGGTTAGGGCGGCAGATAGAAATACCAATGACAACAGGAAGTGTTTCAGTTGTTCAAGGTTTGGACATATAGCGAAGGAGTGTCCTCAGAGAACCCATGTGAAGTGGATCAGTGAGTGTCAGGGAAGTGAGGAAACCCCCAGAAGGACGGAATTTCACTGATCATACAGAAAGCGAGGAGTATGGGAGTCAGGATGAGTGGTGGTCCAGTCAAGACAACACCGTTAGTCGGGAAGAGAATTTCACGTTCGGCAAGGCTGTTACAGACCCAAATACCCGCTCTGTTGGATACGGGATCGATGATAAGTATAATTCCCGTGGGTGTGTTGGCTCGAGCAAAGGATAGAGGATTCAACGTGGGCAGTCTTGAGGTCATAAATGGAGATGGTGTGCATGTGTACGACGCATCCAATAATAAGATGGAATTTCTAGGCGCCGTTAAAATTGGTGTTGAATTAGAAGGCGGGCGAAGTAGCCTGGTAGCTTTCTACATCGCAGATAGCAGGGATGATGAGATACTGTTGGGAACCAATTCCCTTAGCGACCTAGGAGTCAGCTTGAAGATTTCTGAGTATGATTCAGATACCGAGAGTGCGAGGGTGCAGCCCAAGCCAGTGACTGTAGCCAAGAGGGTATATATCCCACCGCATGCGGGCAAGGTTTGTGCCGGCGCAT